CAAATAGTTACACTTGGTAAAAACGTCGGAGTAACGATTAGTTACAAATGAATCTAGGTTTATAAGTGATAATCTCAGTCCTAGTGTTCCATTGACAAAGGTTGTAGTTGAAATTCCCGAATCGGATGTCTATTTGAAGTATCTCTTACTTTTTTGGCTTTTCGTACACACTAAAAGACTTTTTATAAAACAATTTATAACCTAACAAATCGATGGGAAGATTCAAACAAACAATACTAAGTTGAATTTAATTTATAACCTAGTTTAGTAGTCGAGTAATTGTTATGCCAATGGAATGTATCATATTTCTGTAAATAAAACGTAAACGTTGATTGATAACTTTTCAATAAACGATTAATTCTTAGTTGTTTACCCCTACAATAAAAAATGTATTAAAAAAATAAATCAGCAGTTTGGGAGGAAACTGTAAAATCTATTAGTATCCAGGTGAGTGACATAAACTTCTTCGTAGAGTTACAATTGTGGTGTGGGTTACTTATATCCAGGTAAGTAGTATATTACTATGGTCGGGCATTGAATGTATTTCAGTAGAAGATCGATAAGGAAAGAACGGGATTGTAACGCAATCGGTATGAAAGTGCATGGACAATAATAATCGGGGATGATGAACTGATATTTACAAAAGGGATGGTCGGAATTGAGTCGATTGGTTGATAACTTGCAAATTAACTATTTACTGTATGATTGTCAGATTTTAGTAAGATAATTTGTAGTTTGTACATGAATGCATTCGATTGTTCCCACCCATGTTCTTGTTCACTACACAATGATTGTAGTTCTATTACCGGTATAACTTGAGTTTAAATATTGTCTTCACTCTGTTATCTGAAATGAAACAGGATCTATCTAGAGAAGTTCTCATTTTAATGTAGAATAATATCAAAATGACTAAACTATGTATGAGAAAAAATCAGAGATGTAAATACTGGGTGTATGGAATTTTCTAGCAATTATGCCTTTCAGTTTCCTAGATTTATATAATATCCATCATTTATACTTTTATCAAATTTATTTAACTATCTATCTAGTTGGATTGTTGATTGATTTGTTGTTTTTTTCTAAAAAGTGGCTACATCTAACCCGAATTGATCGAGACTTAATAATTTCATTCGTCCCTATCACTTGATTACTATCTCATTCATATGAACACGATTGTTTGAGCTTAATAGCAGGGCTCATTCAAGCAGTTACTAACTTTGTTATGAATTTTAAAAAAATAAGACGTATGCTAATTCGTTATTAATCTTTTGTCCGGTATTTATCACGTGAATTATCCATCAATCAAAATACGACTTTTCTAATATTAACACCGTGCCAAATCAATGACGTTCGACCAGTAAGAGTAATCTAGCGTCCTTATTGGTCCCCTGTCCATCTAGCCCTTTCAATTGAGTCCAGAACACCAATTGCAGCTTCTTCTATACGAATCATTTATTTCAAGCATACTTGGTTTATATACCAGCCAGACAGACCGCATCACACCATAAAATAGAAAATAATATTTGTACAAGATCAAGCCGAATGTGGCTGTGAATGTGGAATACAATAATCAATAAACTGGATATAATTTAGGAACAGTGATTCGTACAGTAAAATTTCATAGGTCAAAATGAAGCTTATAGTAAGATGAATATAGATACACACAATCTAATCACTCAGTAGTTAAACCATAAGAATATATGTAGAATAATCACCGATTAATAGGTCCTGGGAGTTACCCGTACTTATGTCTTCACTAGGATATAACAGTGAACTGATGCCATCTCATCATTCCTCATTCAATTATTCCACTATACGCGAAAAAGGGTTCAATATATACATGATCATAACAAACCACACTATAAAAACCTTGGAAACATTAGATCATTGAAGCTCACTTGTTGAGAATCAAATCGAAGTTATACATTAATTGTCACGCGTATATAGCCTCTGTCAGAGAAGTCCTACTCATTGACTTCTCGTAGCATTACTGTTGTTTACGAAATTGAGAGGACGAAAAGCGAATGTCCGGCGCTTTAACCGGGTTGGTGGACACTGAAAGTTCAACTAGGGCAGTTGGAAAACCCTGATTCCAAACCAATGATGCATATGGGCTCCAGTATCCTGAAGGAACAAATGGCGTATTAATCAATCGTTGGTCACCGACTACCATGAGACTGCATCTCCTCACGATGCTCCACTGCCTTGTGGATCAGATCTTTAGGTCAAAGTCTCCTGGTGTGGCCACTTAAAAAAAACCACCTGCTTCAGCTTGGGCACCTGGGCATTATCACAGCCATCACACAAATCAAATGAGATTTGTGAGGCGCATATATATCTGGTGCTTCCTTGTACCACTATTTATGTGTTTAAATAATATATAATAATACACATTAATTAGTAAATGATAAAAATTCTACCATTACACTGATAAGTAACACATTTTATATAATCATAAATTTTACAATTTCATTAAACTGTTCTTATTCTATAAATCTTCCAGAGATGTACTCATATTATGAAGTGTATTTATAAGTGAACATATTCCAGTGAATAAAAAGCACAAGTGAGGACATTTGAATGTAAAGCAATTAGTCCCTTTGATAAATTTCGATAGTGTAATAAGAAGACGAAGATTATCAGAACTGTGTGATATATTAGCGCTTAACCGATAGACCACTGAGCTAGCTGACATCCATCGGTGTTAATGTCTAACTTCAACCAATCCACGATTTTGAGCGACCGTTCACCAATTGTCTTCAGTAAGTTGATATCTCTACAACAGACTTGGTAGGACTCCATTCCATTATATATTAAAATAAAAGGTCAACTAGACTGGAAATGGGGGGTAAGAACAAACAAGGATAATAATAATAAACATATTGTGAAAACAATTTGACACCTAATCACTCCTAATATTACCAGGGTAGATTTAAGGCGAGAACAAACCGTTTTTGAATACACAAAGTTGGGTTGAATTTTCGCATGGATGAGGCTTCAATAAACCTTAGTATATGCCCTTTTACACTTTTATATAACACCACAAAAGCCGACTTAAGATCAATCTATGTTTGGCAATAGAGGATGATGGATGTTAATCCTCTACTTTTATCGGGTCACATCTGAACACAAAATTACAGAATCAATAGGTAAAATCTGAGAACCATACAGTAAGTACTTCATTTGCAAAGTATCAATCAATTGTCTCAACTTGACTGTTCCTTCCTTTCTACATCAATCACTCTCTGTTCTTGTTCTCTTTTCTTTGATCTTCCTAACTTTTTTCCTCCAGGTATTTCATTTTCGATTGATGATACATACTACTTATATCAATCAACGTCAGTAGCACACCATAATATTATTCCAAATATCTCATCACGATGTAATTGATTTCCAAAGTAAAATCATTCACCTTTCTTTAAGTTACATGAATCATACACAGAAAAAATGTTTTCAATATTTGTCTGGTCTAAAATGAATAATTTTATTAGTGTCTGTGTTGATGATTCATTTACTTGTCATTATAATGCAGGTTATAACGATCAGTTATAGATCGATTTGTCTGTGATGAATGTATGTTGCTCTAAACTCAACCGATCACAATAAATACTCGGTTACAGTCTATCCATAAGTATTATTCCCAATTAGGTTAATTCAAACAATCTTTAAGTTTTATCAGGATTCAATAGCTGAGAGGATAACCTGATAGCATTTGAAGCGGATGGTACTGCGTTCGAGTCCCCGAGTGAAAAGTAACTCTGAGATGTAGGTATATCCAGCTGACGAGTCTCAAATAAGACGAAACGCGCGTCAAACTGGATTCCACTGCTAGCTACTATCCATCTTTGCTTACCATGCTTGTGAATTAAGGCTATATCGAGGCAATACGCACAGTATGCACATATGCCAATAAGAGACTTATCAATTGTAGTCCTAAACATCAATGGGAAGATTTAAGTAAACAATACCAAGAGAATCTTTAAGTTTTAGTTTGAAGCTTTTAATAGTAAATATCAAAACTAAACAGAAATAAAATTTCACTTCGTATTGTTTGCTTAAATTTTTTCATTAATATTTACGACTGTAATTGATCAGTATCTTATTAGCATATGCACATCAATCGGAAGATTCAAACAAACAATACTAAGTGAGTTTAAACTTCATCCTCATTTCACAAGCAATTGGATATCAAGACTCAATAACTAAGTGGATAACGCAATGGCGTTTGAAGTGAACGGTGTTGGGTTCAAGACCTGGAGTGAACATAAACACTATGATGTAGGTATATCCAGCTGATAAGTCCTAAATTGAGTGGAACGCGCTTCTTGGATTCCACTACTTGTAACCATCCATCTTTGCTTAGAATTAAAATTTGATTATAAATAAAAATGTTCATCTTATTATGATTTTTAAATAGCTCATCGACTAGTTAAAAATTTTTATATGGTTGAAATCCCCATTTAGTTGAAGCTAGACCACGACAAAAAACCTGAAAGCATTGGGTGGCCTACACGTCCTATTGTGGGACTCTTCAGCAGTGCGAATCCACGATCCTGCCTCTCGAGATATCATTTCACTGAAGACATTGTTGAATGGTTGCTCAATTTCGTGGATTGGTCTAAGCTAGACATTAACACCGTTGGATGCCGGCTCGCGCTCGCACGCGAGACTGATAGGTCTTGGGTTCGAATCCCTCGAGGCGGGATCGTGGATGCGCACTACTGAGGAGTCCGACAATAGAACGAGTTGACCGTCCAGTGCTTCAAAGTTTGCCATGGTGATCTAGCTTCAATCGACTTATGATTTCAACTATATAAAAAATCACTAAAATTTGCACAAAACCCCCTTCTGTTGGTTAAAATTTTCTTTAAAAAAGATATCAACTTGCATATAAGCTAAAAACCATCATTATGTTACCCTTTACTAAAATATTTACATAAGTTACAATCATAAGGAATAATTGTTTTAACAATCTAAATTCGAACTAGTCTAAAACTAATTTAATCATTTGATATAAATGAAAGGTCATTGTTCAATCCGTTTATAATGTGTTGATGATGATGATGATGATGATGATGATGATGATGATGATGATGATGATGATGATGATGATGATGAGATGATGATGATGATGATGATGATGATGATGATGATGATGATGATGATGATGATGATGATGATGATGATGATGATGATGATGATGATGATGATGATGATGATGATGATGATGATGATGATGATGATGATGATGATGATGATGATGATGATGATGATGATGATGATGATGATGATGATGATGATGATGATGATGATGATGATGATGATGATGATGATGATGATGATGATGATGATGATGATGATGATGATGATGATGATGATGATGATGATGATGATGATGATGATGATGATGATGATGATGATGATGATGATGATGATGATGATGATGATGATGATGATGATGATGATGATGATGATGATGATGATGATGATGATGATGATGATGATGATGATGATGATGATGATGATGATGATGATGATGATGATGATGATGATGATGATGATGATGATGATGATGATGATGATGATGATGATGATGATGATGATGATGATGATGATGATGATGATGATGATGATGATGATGATGATAGTGATGGCGATGATTCACATATAATTTCAACACTTTTATCAATAAACAAGATTCATTAAGTTACATATTATAGTGTAGATCTTCTTTTCTACAAATAAATACAGTTTTATTTACTTTCTAACATGTTTCCTAATCAGATAATTGAAATTCCTTAAGATTTCTGTCCTACAATTGTAACAAATTAGTCTATTGTATGATTCATAAATTATATACAAGTTAATGGAAGATATTTATTATGAATATTTGTGTTTACTTCATTTAACTGAATAAACTGAGATTCAATGATTAATATTTAGTTGAGGTTATAAGCTCCTAGTAACAAATTCAAGTAAATAATTATTAGTTTTGTAGTTGAATTTATGAATCACTTGAAGCTAGACCACCATGGAAAATCTGAAAGTACTATAGGTCATTTCGTCATAGCATGGGACTGCTCCTGGATTCGAATTCTGCGGGCTGAATCGTGGATGAACACTTCTGAAGAGTCCCATACTAGGATGAGACGACTGTCCAGTGCTTCCAGATTCGCCATGATGGTCTAGCTTCAATTGACTAATGAATTCAACCACAAAATTATTAAAATCTCCACAAAACCCCTTTCTGAAAATAATTATTATTTAATCGGATGAATTCACGGATTACATACAAATATAATCTGAGTTGAGTGAAACGCTTTACTTGGTAACAAATTATGTTAACCTGAATACAATCAGATTCGTTCGGTTTCAAACCTTCCAGGCAAAGAATGTCAACCAGAAATTTGCTACTCCTTTTTTTCGAATAGTACTATTTATTATTTATTATTTATAATGGTTAAACCACTTTGGAATAAGAATAAATGAAACTCAAAATTTAGTAACTGTGCGATGAGTGCTACTTATATCAACAGATATAAGTAGTATGTAATATCAATCAAAAGTAGAACGCCTGGAAGCAGAAGGTTGAGAAGATCGAATAGAAGAGAACGGGAACAGAGACAGATCGGTGTGAAAATGAAGAAACAACATATTCTGGAGCAATTAATAGAGATTGATGAACGTATGGTATTCCTTACTTTAATTTGTATTTAATATTACTCTCCCCTAATATATAGCGATATTTACCAACGTTTTATTCAGCCAAATTACTGGTTGATCTTATCAATCAGTGAGTCAGTATATTTGTTTATCTTATTCAAGAAATAATATAATTTGAATCTCGCGAGGTGAGGTCGTGGATGCGCACTACTGAGGAGTCCCACAATATGAAGAAACGGCCGTCCTGTGCTTCCAGGTTTTCCTTGGTGGTCTAGCTTCACTTGACTAATGCATTCAACTATAAATTGATATTTAGTTGAATTTTAAAACATCGGTCAACCTAAAATAAGAGTTCCTCCTTACTTCCATCATGATTTTAAAAGAGTATTTTAATGTATATGCCTTACCTTGTATACATTCCGACCTGTCCTTATTATAACCATAGTCCTATTGGACGTTAGGAGTTGTTCTCTCTGAATGAATTAATGTACATCGTAATCATCTAATGGCTTTCTTTATCATTCAGTTCAGTTACAGAAACCTGAAAAAAGTAATAGCGACCAATATTTTTTTGTTCACTATTCTGAGAGCTTTGTCTACCGAAGATAGCCAGATATCATTAGTTAAGTCAGTTGTTAATTATGTAATCCAATTACCACTCAGTAAAAAAGAAAACATCATTCCACTCGAATAATCAAATATTTATCATTTGAAGATTAAAGTAGCTTTGGTCAGCCTAATCACACTATTGAAGTTATAGTTTATCAAATAATAATTATTCTGTATAGGAAGAGATCTGGTCAAAAACAGTATTCAGTTCGTGATAAGTTTCTATGTAATATAACATGAAGTTTTTTGTTGTTAGGGACTATGACCAATGAACTGTGAAATTCAACTCTATGTAAGGTATACCTGAAATCGACTTTTAAAAATAAATATTCCATAGTCAAAGATGGATGGTGACTAGTAGTGGAATCCAAGAAGCGCGTTTCACTCAATTTGGAACTTGTCAGCTGGATGTACCTACATCTCAGAGTTCATGACCACTTCAGGACTCGAACCCAGGACCTATGAGTCTCGCGCCAGAGTAATTAACCGATAGACCACTGAGCTGGCATCCAACAGTGTTAATGTCTAACTTCAACCAATCCACGAAGTTGAGCAACCACTTCACCAATGTCTTCAGTGAGTTGATATCTCCCAACGGACTTGGTTGAACTCCACTGGTCACTGCTTCTCGCTAAAACTCCAGGAGTTGGATTGGTTGAAGTTAGACATTAACACCGTTGGATGCCAGTGGTCTATCGGTTAAGTGCTCTTGCTCGACACTTTTAGGTCTTGGGTTCGAATCTCGCTCGCGAGGCGGGATCGAGTGTGTGCACTGCTGAGGAGTCCCATAGTAGGACGAAATGGCAGTTCAGTGATTCCAGAGTTTCCTTAGTGGTCTAGCTTCAATTGACTCACGCTTTCAACTATGAAAATACAAAATCTCCAAAAAAGCCCTTCTGATTATATTTCATTGTTGCTAGATAATTGCATACAAATATAAATGAGACTAAGAGCAATTTCATAATATCAAACGTATAAAAAACCTTTAACATCTTATTGTAAGCAGATTATCACTAAGTTCTACTTATCTTAATAAACTTTCTCGAAAATACCCAACAGTATCGACTGATTGTAGTGTTGCAACCATTGCAAAATATCCAATACTAAATGACTATTTCATCCTATTAAGTAGTACCTCAGATGTGTGCACCTACGATTCTACCAAAAGTTGAATATAGAATATTCCAGTTCAATGCTGATCACGTTACATTTTTAGCATATTAATGATGTGTATTTTTCATGCTACTGATTTCAAAATTTTGTACAGTCTTTACTTTTCAATGGTTAACTTTGAGAAGAAACTCCAAAAGCTCTAGTGAGAATTGATGACTAGTGTATTTCAAATATTTGAAGAAAAACAGTTCATATAGATGGCAATGGATGAAGGTTGCTTAACCGATTGAAGTGGCTACGAAAATATGGACCCTTGAATGTCAATCAGAATTCAGGAAGTAACACGTCCCGGCGAGTCCCGAAGGTCTTCTATGATCTGGTAGGTATGAATTGATGAAAGGGATCACACTGAAAAATAATATTTCTGAATTGATTTACTATCCGTGACAATTATTCGTCTGAATTATGCCCGCAATATAAAAACTTCTTCAAGTCAAATAGTTTAGATAAATCCCTCATCCTAATGTACATTTTTTTGGTTAAACGATGAATAAGAGTGAAAACTGATTGAAAGTAATCTACAGAAAATCTTTCTTGACACAGGTTTCATGCTAATAACACACCTGGAATCTTGGGGAAGCTAATGATCCCTGTGAATTTGAATCAGTGTCTTCCAGTTTCATGTTATGAGCCATTATCATCTAATATTTCAAAACAGCAAACGTGGTAATGAACTGATTAAACCAGTGACCACATTTCGACCTGATCGATAGGATTCGATCAACACTTAAAGGACTGGACAAACATAACATAGATTACTACACAGTTGCCAATCAATTGTAAAGATGTGTGAGCGAAATGTTCGAAGCACCAGTCTCACAGACTTCTACTTTATAATCGTTTTGTTACAACATAACTTTGGGGAATCGATCTATGACGTTTCTTGTTCATTTGAAAGCCTGAAATCGCAAATCCAAATAGATTTTACTCTTTTCTTGAATACCTCATCGACATAATATGAGGATATATTACCGGTGTCTTTCGCATATTTAGAGACTCCTATGTCTTTTATTACAGTATAGTAGTTAAAAGTTAAAATTTAGTAATTCATATTAGAGGCTAATTTATTTGTCAACAAATATTTCACGTTGGACATTAACTTCATCCTGTTTAGGACTCGTCAGCTTGATGTAACTGTATTCCAGAGTTGATATTCACTCCGGGACTTGAACCCAGTAATTTTGTATTCAAACACTCAAGATGCTAATCACTAAGCTTCTGTGTCTAGATGGCGACTTACTTGTGCAAGGATTTCAGTGATCCCATCCCACGATAATCTTGACTGACTTTCAATCGTTTCGGAGCTAATGTAATGGGTTACAGTTTTGTCACGAATATCAGTACTAGGAAGTACATTGGTAGTGAACGGGAACACAATTGAGGACAATCGAATTCACTTAAATACAAAATTACAGAATCTCTTAGTAAAATCTGAGAACTATACGATATATAATTCATTTTCAAAATGTCAATCAACCAAACTTCACTGTTATTTCGTTTCCTAACCAATCAGACTTTGTTCTCGTTCTCTTTCCTTTGATCTTCTTAACATTCTTCCGCCAGATATTTCACTTTTGATTGATGATCCATACTACTGATATCTACCAACATCAGTAGCACATACCACACATTCATCCATAGAGTCAGAAATAGGACGAAATAAGACTTCTAAATTTTGATGGCTGCTATATTTCAAATAAACTAAGATAGTTCATTTAGTATTGTCCCAAATAGGACGAAACGTGCGTCCTAGATTCCACTGCTAGCCACCATCCATCTTTGCTTATAATGCTTGTGAATTAAGGCTATATCGAGGCAATACGCACAGTATGCACATATGCCGATTAGAAACTGATCAGTGGCAATCCTAAAACATCGATGAGAATATTCAGACAAACAATACTAAAGGAATTTAAACTTCACCCCATTGCACAAAAAAGTAACTATCAGGACTCAGTGGCCGATTGGATAACGCGGTGGCGTTTAAAGCGAAATGTACTGGGTTCGAGTCCCAGAGTGAACATCAACTTTGAGATGCAGATACATCCAGCTGACGAGTCCCAAAAGGGGCGAAACGCACATCCTGGATTCCGCTACTATCCATCTTTGCTTAAACTAGAATAGTAATCATAATTTATTTATATTTATATTGAGTACTCAGCCAACTGTAAACTGAATGTGAAAATAACTATTGATATATATTATTTAATAAACAGGAAACTATTAAAACAGTTTCTATTTGTAAGCATAAATATTTATTCTTTTTTAAAGAAATATATTTTATTTAGTTCAAATGAACGCCCAATATGAAAGCAGCCATCAGTTAATTTTTTGAAGGGGATTTTGTGGAGATTTTAGTAATTTAATAATTGAATTCATGAGTCAATCAAAGGTAGACCATTATGGACGGTGGCGCCATTTTATGGATTGGTCGAAGTTAGACATCAATACTGTTGGATGCCGACTCAGTGGTCTAGCAGTTAAGCGTTCATTCTATAAACCGATAGGTTCTGGATTCAAACCCGCTGAGCGGCATTGTGGATGAGCACTATTGAGGAGTCCTATACTAGTATGAGTTGGACGTTCAGTGCCTCGAAGTTCTCTATGGTGGTCTAGCTTTATTTGATTCATGAAATTAACCACTAAATTTAGTTGAAAACAATATTACTGAACGATAAAATCAAATACAGTTTCCAGTGAACTGTAAGTGGTTTAGTATAAAACATAATGAAATAATCAACGATAAATAATTGAAATACATCGTTTTTATTGTTTCTGTAGTAACGCAATGTTACTGCTTCCGTTTTAAGATAATTAAATCAATTATATTATAAAGTGGTTGGTTAGAAAGCAATTCATTGTTTGAAGACATATAAATTTTACAAGATAGTTTTACAACAATGATGTCAGTTAAACATAAATCCCTATTATTTCTGTGAAGACGGCCCACGGGTAATTACTAGGAAGTTCTAAGAAGCTCAGAAAGAGCTGACGATATTCCTGTCAATCATCTTTCGAAAGAATATTTCAGAATCTCTACGTATAGCTTCCTTATTGGAAAAATGCTAAAAATCCCCTGTATGCAGATTGAAGGACTATAATGAATATATCTGAAAGTTTCGTACATGTTATGCCTGGTGGCCGGTTATTATGACTGCGTCACCAATTCTTATATCTCATCGTCGCTGATTGTTATGTCGGAATCGCTTATCAGTTATACTAGAATACGAAGAATCACTGTAAGTCCCACGACAAGAATGTAAAAATATAAAAACTGATACAAGTGAAGATTTACTAACTCCAAAACACAACGACGACGACCCTAGTCGAAAATACACTCATTTATATATTGATTCGTACACCCATTTTGATTAATGATTAGGATGAAGTCACATATATGAAAAATACTTAGGGTTATAATAAATCATACGCTACATGTTATGCTGTGCATAGGTCAGATCAATCTTTATTACATTGTATGTTATACAGAATAAAATGTCATATAGGAAAACAGAAGCAAATACTACATTGAATTAAAATGGGATTAATGTTGAATAAAAAGTATAATGAGTAAATCAATCTAATTTTAACTTTTCTTCCCATCATATCAGTACCATATTTGACATTGTTTGGAAT